GATACTGCCCAGTACACGCATGAAATACAGAAAAAACACAAACTCCCTCGGCTTGGATGTCCGACTTTCCGGTTGAAATGTGAAATAAAACGGAACAGATATTTATCAAATCAACGAGTTCTTGCGAAGCGGAGATCTAAGTTTTTTTATTAATGTCAATGACATGATTAACATTCACATTATTATATCAGTGTTTATCATATTAACAGGTTTACACTTTACGACTACGTAACTAAAATATACTACAGTCTTCGTAAGAACAGAGATAATACAGAATCGTATTCTCTGTCTGCTCAAACATCCACTCGTAAAATTTTCACTTCCGGCAGTTTCTACGTATTTTACTTCCAAAGGTTAGGTTAGGTTAGGTTAGGTTAGGTTAAGATTGCAATTGTTCCCAGAAGGTAGCCTGAAAACCGTACATATTTACTTCCACCCTCTTTCAAGCTTGTTATAAAAATATACTCTTTATTATTATAGTCCTGACTCTCTGGTACAAAATTCTGAAGAAAATATTTTACATTCGTGAAGCACACTTTTTGTCGATTATTCTCTCTGGGTCATAACGCCGTGTGGACTTGTAGGTAGACAGTTCTGAAGATGGAGGCAATATATACCTCCGAAACGTTGGTATCTACCTATATGTTTACACGGAGCTACAAACCCAGAAGATCGTCATCGACATATTCACTGCTGAAACCTCAAATTTTTTGCTAAAATTTGTACTAGTTGCTTTAAAGTTTTAATTAAAATGTTCTGCACTTCAAAATGTAGTAAAACCCGTTTCTGGGACACAAAAGAGGGCTAAGCTGACTGAGTGTTCGAAGTTGGATACGATACTCGATCGTTTAGTATTTTAATCATTACGAAGACTAAAAATAGTGAAGTTAATAACAATAAAACGGGGTATCATTAAGGATTTCTAGATCATTTAGCGGGCTGACTTGCTTAATTAGTGGCATCGGTTATAATAAGCCGATAACATAATGGGAAGGACATTCAAGAAACTGTTGTCTGAAATGGACTGTTCGGGGATTCAGAAGGAAGACGAGAAAAAAGGATAGAAAATAAAATTACAGTTGACTTCTGACTATCTGGGTCGGGTGGGAAATATATTTTCCCCGATAAACAAAAAAACCCGGATAATCGGCAAATCTTTTAGAAAAAGTAAAAAAAAATATGTAAATTTTATTTCAGACATACACTAACCATAAAAAAGGATTCCAACGGATAATAATAACGTTCTTCTGTCCCAAACGTCTGGTTTTAGCAACATCAGATTTTTGTTAATATCTTAAATAATATAATTGTTTTTTAACGTTCTGATTTTTAAACAAATTTTCTAATTAACTAGATGACTTAAGGGACCCGAAGGTTCATCATCTAATTAACCAAAGCTCTCCACCAATCCGTGTCCTGAGCCAGCATAATCCAATCGCCATAGACATTTTCGAAATTAATTTTAATTTTCGTTTAAACCAGATAGACCCCGGTTAATCCGCCCCGGATAATACGGAATACACCGTAAACTGAAAAAAAAATAAAATAAAGAAAGTATTCTTAGAATCAGCTGTAAGGTCGTGAGTGATAATCATGGTTTTATATTCCGACGCTAAAAGCCTTTTTTTTTTGTCAACAGTTGAGATGGGCGTTGATGTATAAATTGATAAATCCCCTATGACCTGAGCTTAGCACTAGGTTTACGCTGATCAAACCCCAGCCTCTGACTTCATCACATTACTGCTTGAGGGGATTTCCCCCCCGCCACCAAACTTCTGCACAGACAATGATGACCATACATTGTGGTACAGCAAGAGAGACAGATTCAGTGTGGACGCGTGCAGAGGAGAGACGGGGTGTAGACCAGCCACCACATTGTTGTCACAGTTTACCCGGGGGGAAAGGGGTGGGGAATCAGGACACATGACGACAAGCGATCCATTGTTCCGATCTTCAAATCCTTTCCACGTTAACTAAACTGTTGCGAGTAAAAAAAAAACACGCTCACATATCAGACTATCTTCGTGTTTAGAACTGAGAAGAAACAAGAATAGAACGGGATTTCAATTTAAAACATTTTTTTATACTTAACTGGCTTTAATGTTAACGTATTATAAAAATAAATCTAACACTGGAATAAACCTATTGCTGTAACCTAACCACAAAACTCATAAAGTACATATGATTGCAAATGTTTCTTTAGCATAATGTATGAAAATTGTATTTGAAATTATTTATCGTTTTGAAGCTTTATATAATTATATACACCTGAGGATGGTTCTTTTAGGAACTGAAACATGTCGTGAAACATGAAAAATGATGGTGTAATGTAAATCTAATATTTCGATAAAGAACATCATTTAATATTTTAAATGTTAATTATTGTAATATTTAATAAGAATTATTGTGATTAGACGGACAAGATTTAATATATAATATATCGTCTTTCATTGTATTTCGACATCATGTTCCAATTATTTTTCACGATGCACCGACACGAATCAAAATTAATTTTGGTCGTAAACTGTAGACTTCCCAATAACGCGAATTTTTTGTCGAAATGCTATCTTTAGTTTCGAGATGACCATCTATAAGATTGCAAGATATCTTGTTCGAATTAATTATTATTAATATTTTCTTATATCTGTAAAGTAGAGAAGGTCGTAAGATTGGAGAACATGTAGCATGCATAAACATACAAAATTATAATATAAAACAAGAACGTAACAGACTCCTCGAGGACTTGACGAAGGTCAGAGGATAATAGTACAGTAGATATTAAATAAATAGGCTCTATACATTTTTGGATTGGCTTCATTCAATTTATAAAGCGGACTTTTTTTATTCAGCAATGAACATTCGCGTTCCATTAAAGAGAACTAATTTATTAACTATCTGAGCTGCCATTACTTTCTCAAGAAAGAATGTTAGATAGAACTGGTTCCCCTGCGGCGTGGTAGAAGTTGTCTGCGTTGGCAAATAATCCTGGCTAAGATACAGCGAGCGAATAGCAGGCTTTTTCCTCGCGTAAAACAAACAAACGAAGTGGGACTCAATAGGGTTGTCCTAAAATAACCTTCTAGGAACATAAAGTTACTACGCAGGGGAACAGGGCATTAACGAGCAAACTTGTAGCCTGTATGATCGAGGAGGGGAATTAAAATACAGAGAAACTGTACGTTCACACTTTGTTTATCTTTTTCTCTCTATATAAGGACAGATCTCCTGGATCGTGCCATATAATTTATAAACGGGTTACCAACATTTCGGTGCAATAATTGTCTCCATCTTCAGGATGTAAGAAAGAGACGATAGGTTCTTCTCAGAACCAGAAGATCACAATAGCCTACCAATCTTCATCATAGTGAACAACTAAAATATCATTTTCTCTCGATGGTCTTCATGTGTGCTTAGGACTGACCTGATCATATACAAATTCAATTAATAGATGATTAAGACGATAGGTTATCTTAACAGCAATGAAGCAGTCCTCGTTGAGAAGCTGACAGTCGTTCAGATGAAAAAGAAATTCTCAGCTATTACTAAAACCCAAAATTTAATTACGGGGTGCTCACAAGAGTCTGCTGGGGATACTGGGAATGACCCGTTCTTCAAGTGCCTGAGCACTGCGGGTCCCAATTTTTCGTTGGCTCGATCTATAGACATTCGGTAGGACTCCTTGGATGAGGGATCGGCCCGTCGCAAGGCCTCTACCAGTACACAGGACAGAAAAACGCGGACACACATCCATGGCTTGAGTGGGATTCGAACCCACGGTCCCAGCGACCGCGCGGCCACTGCGGACCCCAAGAGTCTGCTACAGAACCTTTTCCTGGTGAAGTTTAATCCAGTCCACAACGCAAGACCCTTTTTCTTTAAAACATATTTTCGAGATACTCTCTCTTCGGCGCTCAGATCTTCCGAGCAGTCACTTCCTTACGGGTTTCCTGACTAAAACTCTCTACTCATTTCCTATCTCTCCCATTTGTGCTACATGTTCCGCCCATCTCATCCATCCTGATTTGATCACCCTAAGAATATTACACAAAGACTACGAATTGTGAAGCTTTAAACTTCGAAATTCACGATAAGTTCAAGAATTCATAAAAGCACGAAATCTTCTTGTAAGCTATTACTTATAGTTAATTTCATTTTCATTGCGTGACTCATTACAGGTGTTTCGTTACGCTCACATTGTAATATAGGCACTGAAGATGACATAACGGAGCCGAAACGATAAGTAAGTACCCATGGAATGCCACTACATCAACTTCGACGGTCACACGTGGTATTCTGACCATAGGTAGATGGGCTAAAAATGTGTGAAGTTCCTAGCTAAAAATATGCTACTTTTTTTAAGTCATAGTTCGGTGATGTAACCCTTGTTAAGCCCAGAGGATCATATGCTTCTATCCTAAACTCCATTTCTGGTTGTTGGTACATGAATTATTAAGTGCTTTTTTCCCACGTTCCAACAAAGTCGATCTGAATAAAAAAAAAGTTGAATGCGGCAAGCAAGTTTAGTATTTCCAAGTCCAATATACGAATGAACCTATTCATCTCAAGGCATTCATTAGCTACAAGTCACGTGTGTACCCCCCCCCCCCCCGGGCCCCTCCACACACAGAAACCGGTTGGAACATCAATGTCTTGTAGAACTTGAATAGCCTATCGTTACTTTTGGCTTATAACAGACGCTTGATTGACTTGCTAGGTTTTAATAGACCTGCTATTTACATGTTATTAAAACACAATATACTGGTATCGTATTATCACAGTACAACAATTACAATTTACAAAAAGTTAATTGCGCCTCCGACATTTTGAATTCAAATACGCCATCCACACATTTAACAATAATGGAGTAGCCTGTCTTGAGAAGCTTAAAATCGTTCAGCTAGTCAGCAAATTTCCAGCCTTTTATGTTCGCTACAGTTTCCACAAGAGCCCGCCGACAGTCTCTAACCTAAGCCAGATTAATCCACTCTGCATCCTCTCACCCTGTTTCAAAAGTGTGGTCTTCAGCCCCGTTTTACCGTCTCGTCGGCCTGTGCTGCTGTTTCTTAGCTGCACGTTTGATGTCGACCGCCATATTTCTATATTCGTTGGGCCTCCACATTGCGCCATCTGTCACGACCGCAAACTACCAGACTGTAAGGAATATATGAATATATTTGTATTATATATACACACGCACTTATACATGGGCAGTATATGCCTTGTCTTTAAAGCGACTAGCTGGATGGTCGCGGTTCGATTACTGGTAGGGGCACTGATAGTTTCTTCCCCACCTTGTCCAGACAGGTTCCTATCCAATGGTTTCCGTGGGCTCTTTCCCCATCTCGATAAACACACACAAGTTGTGACATCAGATAACGAACTGAATCGTCACGTGGCTATGACGTTTGCCACAATAGAAGTTTGGTTTGACTTCATTCTGTATTATCTAAGAGAGAATTAATCGGACTTTACCTTTTAGCATAGTGGGATCTAACTAAGCAAAATGATTCTGGGGCTTAAAAAACTGAACTGCACTCACAGCTGATGGAGCGAACATCCTTCTTTGTGATTATAGTAATTCTGTATGTCTTTGTTTTTTTTTTTGGATTCATTTCTTCTCCTCATTAAAGAGAACTGTATAAAGCAATAATCATTCACGCTACCTCGTTTTTTAACAGCAATTTAATGATGTTTAGAACTTGTAGTAAGTAGCCTTCTGGTTAATTTCATTTAGACTCCTTGTTTATTTATATTCATACACCAATGTAGTTTGACAGATAACTATATTTGTTACAAACGTTATTATTGTATTGTGGATGACAAAAATACAGAGGTAACGTAGAACTGGTGTGAGTAAAAACTACATTTTGCAGAGCCAGACAACTAGAATCATGTTGATCCAGTCAACAAAGGACTCCCAACTTCCAACTCAATCCTCATTTCAAATTGACATTCCAAAAGGAGAGAGGAAATACACAGATCGTCACACGATATCAACCACAAATGGATATAAAGGCTGGGGAGTTATTGGGGAACTTCAGACATGTTGTAGCATATTCAAAACGCCAACATTAGACCTTCATTTTCCACTGCTTCTGTGTTTGGAAACTACTCGACAGATGCAATCGCCATCAACATATTCCTCGATTGAGCAACCGCCATTTCAAGTCTTCATCCCGGTTACAGGCAGCAAGGGGAAAACTTGGTGCGATTCGTCACGGCACGGTCTCAATTCGGAGTGTTTTATCCCTCATGCTGTTGATAATCACGTCTTATTCTGACGTAGAACGTCGATGTGACACTCCCCACCAAACCTTTTAATTCACTAAGAACATTGCGATGAAGTGTCACCAACACTCCGAACATGTAGTTTAGCATTTTAATTACCTAATATCACTACAAAGAGCCGCTTGTGTGAAAGTATATGTAACAGGAATATCGTAATTACTTCACTCTGATTATAACAAAGACCAGCTGTCATATAACAGGTTACTAATTCATATGTTCAGTCCGTAAACATTTGCTGGGCTGCACAGGAGTGTTTCTTTCTTGAAAGCCGGAGGGCAACATGGATATTAATGGCAGTAAACAATTCATCAATAGGACACTAACGAACGACCACGATACTTTCGCGAACAAAGGAGGCAAGCTAAAAAGGATAATTGTTGGATATGATTTTCAGATAATTTGTAGTAAAGAAAGAAAAGTAATTTATTTAATGGATGCATGTTTGAAGTTTAATGGTAGTTGAATTTGAATTAATTAAAGGGATATATTTTAAATATAAATACGGCCCACGGTACTTCATCTAATTTACGAACGCCATCTTGGTCAGAACCCAACGAATGTATGTTTATCCGCCGAGGAGCTGTGGACAGCAAGGACAAACAATAATAAAGATAATGCTATATTTACACAGTTGGAACTGTGGGCATCAAACACATACTTACACCGATTCAGTAAGTCTAACAATTTACAGTTGTACCTAGTTTAAAAAAAGTTATAGTAGCATGGAGTTGTTTTTTATCTTTATCACAATGTCGTATGTTGCAACATGGGAATTCACTTTCGAAGACAAAACACTGATGAAGAGCGATGAAGGGAGGGAAGGAGGGGGTAATTTGGATATTGTTACTGCTGTGGCGGTGTGAGGCTGTGTCTGTGGAACTGGGCCACTAACGGGTCCATTACTTAAGATGTTGATGACTACGAAGGAACTACAAAAAGGTTTTTTACTCACACTATGTAAAAGCCCACCTACAACACGGAGTAATGTTTTGGAAAAGAACCGTAAAATATGAGTCCGCGAGGAAGCCAGTTTTTTTTTGATGCGATTCGAAAGAACATTCTAGAAATCCCTGCAATTTCGTCTACCAATCTGTTTTCCAGAAACATCTCTAAAACCTCGAAGATGATTTTTATGAAACTCGGCGTAACACCTACACTAAATTTTGTGGAGTCGTTATTCATTTTTTTTTAATTTGGTTCAATTTAAGAATCACTTTACTTAAGGTCTTAGGTGAACTTTTAACGTTTATCATGCGAGTTTTTTGGGGAGGAAATAATTTATGAAACTTGATATACGGGGTCTGTATTATAGGAGTATTTACAATGCATAAGTTCCATTCACTTTAATTAATTTTAAATCCCATATTATTACAGGGCCTAAATACAGTCTTGTTTTTATCTCGTTAAGAACTCATCTGACACAAAAGTATCTAGAAAATAAATAATAAAAATACACAAAACAACATACTGTCGATTTTAAACGCATTATATATGAATAAAGAGAAGACAGGCACCACGAGCAAACGAAACATATTTTTAATGTCACCCCAAACAGCGGTTTCCCTCGTTTTGTCTTTCATGTCATGTAACGTTTTCCAAATCTTTTATGTAATTCGTAGCGTTCTTCTCGCTGCTTAAAATAGGTCGCTATTCGTCGTAGATCCGCGTTCTGCTGCCTAGAGACTATTATTATTACTTTTCTCGGTGCTGAGGAAGAACCTGTCAGTTTTATTAAATATTTATAAATACGAATGCCACAGGTAACACTGATGTAATTTACTTTAACTTGAAACTGAAATAATTTATGTTAATTCTCCAGTCAGCGAGAGAAATAAAAGAGTAGCCAACAGGCTGTCAGCTACTTGTGTGTGTCATCGTGCAGAGAAACCGGATAATGAAAACGTAATGCATTTTTACATTTATTTTGTCCATTGCACGTGACATAAATTCCAAGCTGAGGAAACTTTCGAAGAATTGCATAGTACAGCTACAAAAACGTTCACGAATAAGAAGCACTGTACTATAGTCGGCGTAGTAGTTTTTGGCCGGTGGAATTTTCAAGGGGAAGGCTAGGAGCGAGTCTCTGACTGCACCGAGGAGCTTATCGGACTGAACACCCAAACAAAAGAAATGCACTGACCGTGCCACCTCAGGTACACGGACTAGGCCCGTCCGCCAGCTTCACCACCGGCCAAAAACCACTGCGCCGACTATACCATGTCCACTTTCTTCAACGTTATGCTATCCTGTGTAGATAGAGAGGCCTTGCGATAAGCCGACTTCCGGTACTGTCGTATCATGTGTCTGGAATGATAAGAAGTTGAATCTGGATTGGAAAAAGCCAGATGGCCTAATTCGTACGAGAAGAATAAATCAAATACTTTTCAAGTTTCAGGGCCATTTGATACAAATAACCGTAGTTAAATAGCAGCTTTGTCCTCTGGCTTTCACTAGTCGCATGTACAACATTCCGTGATTTTAGACATACTCGTGAACGGATGAAAGATATTGACGAAATTTGGTATGGAGGTTATGTCATTGGAAGTTACTCGTATGTTTTGATTTCCTTCAATCTGCAATGCCAACGTCAAAGATGCTTAAATATGTTTACTTAATTCAAGGACATTTTCTGACTGGTTGATGCCCTAGATACGCCACTGGATGTGTATGACCTATATAGTGAAGGCTTATAGTAAACAATTTCCACATTTATGTGACTTAATTCCAATAAGTCAGAATCATGATTAAGACGACGACGATATAACAGTGGAAGAAATTAAATTATTTATTTTAATGTTCTGCATCAATAGCCAAATGGACAGTTACAGGTACAGCAGAGAAAATAGAACTAGGGAATACAATGAAAATAACAACAAAGAACTTAAAACAAAGATTAAATACTTTTTTTCACACAAAAGCACATCTAGCAGAGAAACAAACAGCAAAGAAAGTAAAATCTCTGAAACTCTGAGAAGGGATACCAACGTGACAGCCATTATTTCCGAGAAAGGACAGACTGAGTTTACGTGCAAAACATAAACACATCGAAGTGGCGCTTCCTAGTGCACAAGGCGTGGAAATATACTACGTGTTTAAAGACATTCTTGTAAGTGTAACAGATTTGAAAACAGAAACGATCGTAACACAGGGTTTAAAAACTTCCACCTAACGCGAAAATAATAAAGGCTTTAATATTTGTATGATGATCAAGTTTCAAGTTCCATAATACACAGAAATTCTTGCTTAATCATGAGCCTACATTTGTAGTACAATCATGAAGTAAAATGCCAACGAAAACTGTGACTTATGAGTACACACGTTTACAAAGCAAACATATTAGTAGATTCGGCAACTCTTTAAACTGACGCACCTATTTTGACAAATATTGGTTCATTTACGTAGGTTGTAAATGTTATACAAGCAATGTCCAAATGCAGGCATGCAGACTTGCAATAAACAAGATTATGATACGAAATATGTGAGGTGTAATTGGGCTATTTTACAATGACCGCGGACCGACGAGCCTTGTAAGAATCATCCTGTTGTTACTGGCATAAATTACTTGCAGACAACATATTTCACACACATGCCAAAATATATCGAGGGCATCATGCCAGAAGGTCGTACCAGCATATTTACATAATCGGAGATACTTATTTAACAACGCAAAATAGTGGGATGTATGTCATGCTAGAAGGGCGTAAGAACAGTACTTTGGCGACATTTCTACTCGCACAGAAAAACTGAACAAATTCAAATATTAAAATGGCGGCCTTTATGCGCCGAGAAATATAAAGGTAACAATGGCAAAGTTGTCCCTGGCGTTTAACTAAGCATCACGCCATACCTGTTTAACCTCGCCA